ACGATAGCAGCACCGACGAGGAAGCAGCCTAAGCCTTGGATCAGAGTTTCGTATTCATTATATTAAAGAAAAAACCCGATGCCTGCCGCTAGAAAAATCAGGTTTTTTCCACCCATGGTTTTCACGAACCCTTCCGTCAATCCACTGCTGGATAAATGCCTCGTCCCAGGCTTGCAAGTGCGGTATGAAGCCTGCAGTTACGGTACCCATTGTACTACCAGACGCTATTGGTAAGCGCGTCCCCTCTTAGCCAACACGGGATTTAAGTGCAGGACCAAATGGATAACTTTGAAGTTTGATTTTGGTGCTTTGGCTGAGACCATCGACTTTCACCGCACTCGAGAATCCGGTTTGATCACAGGCTACTGAACACTGGATTAGAAGCCAGTTGTCAGCTGTTCGCGAAACCGAGCGACCGATTGCTACTCAGTTGCACGCAACCGGTTGCGGTTATGTTGCACGCAACTTAGTTGCACGCAACTGATTGCGATTCGGTTGCGTGCAACCGATTGCGATTCAGTTGCACGCAATCGGGTTGCAATCAGTTGCACGCCACCTGGTAGCACGCAATCGGGTTGCAATCCGCTGTGAGCCTGGCCTTCACAACCAGCACACGAGGTGCTTTGAAAGCACAGCAACAACAAAATGATGATGGCATTCAAAAAATCCTTTATTTAACCATCGTAGGGAGAACACAAGCACATTTTAATTTACAGAAGCATTTTTTGACGATGGTTAAGAGTGAAATGGCATTTTGTAAAGCATCATCACCATCATCATCTCGGGTGGATAAAATGAGCACACAGTTGGCAGGAATGTGCCACTCAATGAGGAGGGATGGGGGGGAGGGAGTCAATGAATGGCAGTTGTCCTACGGATGGACTGGCTCGGGCCATATGAACGTGGAATTTCCACTGCACAAATTGACTAATGACCAATGAATAGCATTTCATATATTTACACGCACACACACAGAGTAGTACAATGTGTGTAATCTACATCTGTTAAGTTCATCGTTCTGCAAAATTAGTTAATAAAAGCTAGTGCTTTGGTCAAATATCAGCTCCCAGCCATTAAAATGTAAGCTTGTAACTTAATCTCTAAATAACGCGGAATGGGCTCGATCTCGAAAGCTAAGCAGAATTGGGCCTGGTTAGTGCGTGGATGGGGTGACCCAAGGCCGTAGACATGGAGTCAACATTGGGGGGGATCAAATCTTCCAGGGTGTCTGGGGGTCCCAACCCAGAAAAATATCTGAATTTTAAAACTCATTTCCTGCTGAAAATATTTAAAAATTCACTAACACATTGGATGGACTTTTCATTTATGTTTTACAACAATGCCTAATAGTGTATTGTATTATATTGCTCTGTTTTTACTTTTTTTTTACCATTTCTTGTTTCATTGTATGTGATGGCAGAGATTAGTGATGAATAAAGTACAATCATAACCACAATCATATCAACAGAAATCTATGCATTGATTTATATGAAGACGAGTCCAGATATTGTGGCCAAGGTTTAGCAAATTGTTGTTTTTATTTACATAGCATAGCGATTATTTTTGTATAGCATTTTTAGCATATTTTAATATTGGGACGTGTCTCCCCCAATATTTATATTATAATTACGGCCTTGGGGTGACCGCCATGCACACCAGGTGTTATAGGCTGCAGCCCGCGCTACGCTGTGGGCAGTAGAGGGCTGTAGAGGGCAGTGCAGCGAAATTGAAATTGATGTGAAGCTTTCGTGACTGCAGGAATGCATGCTCTTTGGTTCTTTCGGTAAAGTCACGTGGGTATAAAATAAAATAAATGACGACGTTTCGGGCGCAACACCAGCGTCCATCATCAGGTGGGGAAGCACGTATTGCGCCTTGAAACGTCGTCATTTATTTTATTTGATACCCACGTGACTTTAACCGTCTGGTCCAACACCATGTGAGACTAGGCTCTAAGGAACTCTGTCTCGGGTGTGGACCAATCAACTTCAAGGACAGTGCATACATTATCAGAGTTGTGTTTTTTGTTTACATTATGGCTGCAGGTATTGTGGTCTATGCAAACATGACTCCTTGTAAAAAAAAAAGGTGTCAGTTTTGTTGCCAGATAGAAGGGTAAAAAACCAATTATGAAATGTAAATTTCGATTTAAAGCTTCTTTCGTGACTGCAGGGATTCATCTTCTTGGTTCTTTCGGTAAAGTCACGTCGAATGGAAATAATACAATAATAAAAATAAAACAGGTCTGTCGAGAAGACAGAGTCAGACTCTGTCTTCTCGACAGACCTGTTCTCCACCTGAGGACGGCTGCTTGCGTTGTGGCCGAAACGTCGTGATAATTATTTTATTATGTTTTATTTTTATTATTGTATTACTTCCATTCTACGTGACTTTACCGAAAGAACCAATAAGAGAAATGTAAATTGTTGTACTGTACCGTGATGCCACGTTCTGTGCTCCCTGCCTTCACCAACGACGCACTGACCCGGGTGGTGAAGTATGGTCAAAACATCCCCTATGATCCGCACGGCACGGGATTTGCCTTCGTCCGGCAGTGGATTGACTTTATAAAGGCTGTACGTGGATTTACATATCGAAAACAAATGCCACTAAATTCAGAATGCCATTGCAGATAGCACGACTGTGTACATATATATATCTATGTATGCTACATTGATAAGGAGTTGTCAGGCTTAATGCAGACATGTTGTCGTCATGTAATCATCTATAAGAGGTGTCAATCGCACGGTACGTGTGTGTTCGTATTTGTAATGCGGTATGGTCTTGTGTGTGTGTGTGTGAGACCTCAAGATGCACCTAGCCTGGCACAAGCGCCGTGCTGATGTCACGGCCACTGAGTGGCGAACGGCGATTGTTGTTGTTGCATTGTTGTTAGCGAGCACCTATTAAGGGCGTCACAGCGCACGATGGGTTGGTGGTGGGGCCAGAACAAAGCCCCGAACGCCTTTGTCTCCCCAGTGCTGATTACACTGGTCAACACAATTTTTCTGGCATAAGGTATTCCAATGGGTTTAAGGTAATTTTGGGGTGCTGATTCCAAATCTGGCATCAGTTTTTGTCTATCACATCAGGTTTTTGAGATATAAAATAGTGCATTTTCAATAAAAACTGCAGAAGAAAAATATTAAATAAATGTGGATATCTACATTAAAATCATATTATAAACACACTATCCTAAAAATACAGCACCATATTTTAACACTAAAGTAGTCACTGACTCGCAACAACTTGCAATCATAAGTGACAGAGTTAATTTCGGGTAAAATCAATAAAAATGGGGTATGCCGATAGCATAAAAATGAGATGTGATAGAGCAAATCTGAGATCAGATTTGGAATCGGTACCCTGAAATTAGTCTAGAACAGCTGCAAAAGTCCAGGCCAGAAAAAAATGTTTTTTAATTTGTTGACCAGTGTAAGTTATACACACCAGAGCAAGCACTCATTTAAGACTGGCTCGACATAAAAGTCCCCCTCGATAGCCCTGACAGGATGTCAGGTCAAGATATCGTGCGAAGCACTTTGGGGCCGTCCATAAATGACGTCACGCGATTTTGGACGATTTTTGACCCCCCCCCCCCCCCTCGTCACACGGCGTCACAAAAAGTCAGACCCCCCCTCAAATATGACGTCACAAAGCTCTGCCCCCCCCCCCAAAACCATATTTCCATTTTGAAAATAAAACATGCTTCAAATCGCTTTAAACTATTGTCATTGTAGTGCGTATTTAATGTGGCGCTGCATTCTGATGTTGTAGGATAAAACATTTATTAAAAAGTCTCTTTAATTCAGTAGAACTTGTTGTCTATATTTATTTAAAGTTGCGCATTTTGATGTGCCGTCACATTTCTTACCCCACCCCCTCGTCACACATCGTCACAAACGTCTGACCCCCCCCCCCCCCCAGGTGCGTGACGTCATTTATGGACGGCCCCTTGCCCCAACAGTCTGCAGAGGCTATACGGGAGATCTTTGTCTTTAAAGTGAAACGTGTACAACTGTGAATGCATGCATTGTCTCGCAGGTGCGCGTATATATATGTATATTTACGTATCTAATAAGCAAACATAATTCTGCAATTAAAGGTCAGTGCTCAACATCCACTCCTGTTGAACCTACAGTAGAGATGCAATTATTGTCAAATAGCACGTGGAGGCGGAGATCTCGTTTCTACCGCGAGACACCTGCCCCACGACCCCCCTAACCCTCGACCCCACGACCCCCCTAACCCTCGACCCCACGACCCCCCTAACCCTCGACCCCACGGGCCCCCTAATCCTCGACCCCACGACCCCCCTAACCCTCGACCCCACGACCCCCCTAACCCTCGACCCCACGGGCGCCCTAACCCTCGACCCCACGGGCGCCCTAACCCTCGACCCCACGACCCCCCTAACCCTCGACCCCACGACCCCCCTAACCCTCGACCCCACGGGCGCCCTAACCCTCGACCCCACGGGCCCCCTAACCCTCGACCCCACGACCCCCCTAACCCTCGACCCCACGACCCCCCTAACCCTCGACCCCACGGGCCCCCTAATCCTCGACCCCACGACCCCCCTAACCCTCGACCCCACGACCCCCCTAACCCTCGACCCCACGGGCGCCCTAACCCTCGACCCCACGGGCGCCCTAACCCTCGACCCCACGACCCCCCTAACCCTCGACCCCACGACCCCCCTAACCCTCGACCCCACGGGCGCCCTAACCCTCGACCCCACGGGCCCCCTAACCCTCGACCCCACGGGCCCCCTAACCCTCGACCCCACGGGCCCTCTAACCCTCGACCCCACGACCCCCCTAACCTTCGACCCCACGGGCCCTCTAACCCTCGACCCCACGACCCCCCTAACCCTCGACCCCACGGGCCCCCTAACCCTCGACCCTGGGGGCCCCCTAACCCTCGACCCCACGACCCCCCTAACCTTCGACCCCACGGGCCCTCTAACCCTCGACCCCACGACCCCCCTAACCCTCGACCCCACGGGCCCCCTAACCCTCGACCCTGGGGGCCCCCTAATCCTCGTCTTTGACATCACCATCATTAGTATTACTACTACACGCTTTCTATTCACTCACTCGGTTGTTGTTGTCGTATCCTCAAATCTTGGAACTCAATTTTAACCCACTTCCCAATGTGGTATCGACTGCAAACTTGGTATACCGATGACAATACTATATTCTATCATAAAATATATATATATTTTTAAACATTATTTTTTATATGTTATGTTTCGGCTTGGCTCGAATTGTCCATGGTCAACTAACGTTGGCTGTAATTGGCCACGGAGCCCTTACGTTGTGGCAAGCTTCGGGGCCACTTCTGGAGTCGTGGAGTTCTTCCATTACTAGTACATTTCATTAAAGCGTGTCTTTTAAAAATTTTTTTTTTTAATATTACTTATTTTTTTGTAACCCGAAACCATTATCACCACCATCACGAGCGTCATCGTCGGCATCGACATCGTCCCTCTGTGGATTCGAGTGTTGTGCTAGCACCACTTGTGAGTGAAGTAAAACGTTACATATATTTGTTTTTGCTATGTGGATGTACTGGCCCTCGGCCTAGGAATGTGGAATTTCCATCAGCGGATTTTTTTTTAGGTTCAGAGTCGTCCACAACGCTGACATCGAGGAGTGAGCAGGGCAGCTGCATGGCTAACACACGACATTGCGTTGGTATACAGTTGTGCGTCTTTCAAGCTCACTTTAGTCAAGACGGCGTTGCGTTTACTCTGTAATGACACTCAATTGACTCCACGTGGCGAATATCTCGATGCGTTTCCCAAAGGCCTCGCGTGATTATCTGTGCACGCGTTAACTAAGCGCTGGGCTACATCACGTCAGGTCCCAAACGACGTCGCTCCCAAAGCAAACCAAGACCCCCCCCTCCTCCCCAGCCGTGAAGCTGGCTGCGTAGTTGAGCGTTGAGCAGTCGGGCGAGTGGGTTGGGTGAGTGAGCGGTAGTTGGAACGATTGGTTAAGTGAGCAGTCGGTTGCTTGAGTATGGTGATTGAGTTGAGCTGTTAAGTGTGGGGGTTCATTGAGTGGCTGAGCGAGTGGTTGAATAGATGAGCCGTTGAGTGAGTGGTTGATTGAGTGGCTGAGCGAGTGGTTGAATAGATGAGCTGTTGAGTGAGTGGTTGATTGAGTGGCTGAGCGAGTGGTTGAATGGACGAGCCGTTGAGTGAGTGGTTAATTGAGTGGCTGAGAGAGTGGTGGAGTAAATTAGCCGTTGAGTGAGTGGTTGATTGAGTGGCTGAGCGAGTGGTTGAATGAACGAGTCGTTGAGTGAGTGGTTGATTGATTAGCTGAGCGCGTGGTTGAGTAAATTATCTGTTAAGTGGTTTGATTGAGTGGCTGAGCGAGTGGTTGAATGAACGCACCATTGAGTGAGTGGCTGAGTGAGTGGCTGAGCGAGTGGTTGAATGGACGAGCCGTTGAGTGAGTGGTTGATCGAGTGGCTGAGCGAGTGGTTGACTGAGCGAGCGGCTGAAATTGTCGAGCGTTTCACTGAATGCATGATCAATTGAGCGGTTGAATGGTTGAGTCGAGCAACTGAGCCGGTGGTTGACTGAGTGAGTGGTCGGTCGACTCGTCAATCAATCGAGCGAGCATTCAAACGAGCGGTCGACCGCACGGGTGATTCTGTCAACCCGCACAAGCGGTGCAGTTGATCAGGCGGGCGGGCAAACAGCAAATCAAAGAACACTCTGACGAGTAAGCTGTCACTCGCTGTACCACACTTTGCTGAGTAAGAGCGAGCGAGTGGGCCAGCGGTGAGCGAGGTTAAGTAGCTGCTTGGTGAAGCGATCGAGCGAGTGAGCGAGCGAGCGGGTGAGTGAGTGAAGGAGTATCGTCATTCGTGGGTGCGGAGGGTCAACTGGGCAGGGAATGGACAGAACGGGCGAGTGGTTGGTTGACGGAGCGAGCGAGCGGGCGAGCGGGCGGGTGGGGCGGTCAACTCCACCGAAGGTCGCTCGCTCGCTCGCTCGGTCGCATGAATGGTGGCGGCCATGCGGCAAGATGTCCCGGACTGAAGGTGCGCGAGCGATCGGGGTTGTCCATCGAGCGGGTCAGTCAGTTGATCGGAGCAATCCAATCGCTCAACCAATCAATCGACCGAGCGAGCGACCGAGTGAGCAGGACGTCCCCCTCCCATCGACTCCGGCATCGCTATGGCGGGAGGGCGGGTGGGCGGTCGTCATGGGTCCGTCGGGGGGGGTGGTGGGGGGAGGTGGTCACTCGACCTCCTTGCGGCGGACGACGTGTATGCCCGAGAGGACCTTGCCGACGGCCTGGAAGAGCGGATCGAGGAAGGCGCGCACGCACACGCCGTACACGCGGCTCACGGCCTGGATCTCGATGAGGAAGCTCCTCACGAAGGGCACCACGGCCCAGATGTGCAGGAATGTGAGCAGCGCGAACACGACGCCCCAGGCCAGCGCCAGGGGCACGCCGACGAGCGCCGTGAGGATGCGGTAGCTCCAGTACTTGGAGACGGTGAAGGCCGTGAAGCTGGCCTTCCACACGCCGTCGAAGCTGTGGGCGCTGTCCGGCTCTGCGATCACGTCCTCGAACTCCACCTGCCGGACGCAGGTGCGCGGACGAGGAGAAGGAGCGAGGGTTAGGGGCGAGGAGAAGGAGGAGGTGGTGGTGGTGAGGAGGAGGAGGTGGGTCTACCTACTATAATCACCCAGGAATGTCTGTCCTTAACGCTCGTGACATCACTCCACATCGAACAGACCCCTCATTAATATTCATGAGCAGGTGACGTCCTCCAAATGGACACTCCCCCTCATTAATAATAATTAGCTGGTGACGTCACTCCACATGGGGGGGGGGCGAGGCGGCTCCTCCCCCCTCCTCAGCGTCAACTCACAACCCTCACTGCAAGGGCAGAACCCTCACGTCATCACGCGATCTCCGTAGCGCTGTTGAGACATCAAAGTAAAAAGGACGTCACGATGAATAAGGGATTATAACCTTTAAATTGAATAGGTCTGTGTCACCGCGCCCTTACAAATTGCACACGCACTGATGCGATGACTATCACGTCGCGGGCTGCTTTTTGATTGCACGTTTCAGATTTACTGCAATACGCCTGTCCTTGGACGGGCAAAAGGCGAGTAATTATATAATATTTAGCTGCTGCTATGAATGTCCCACGTTGAGAAGCCACTTCCGCTGAGCGGTGTCATTCGTGGCTTCTGACAAAGAGCCGGATAGCTCAGTGGGCCTGACCTGGTGAAATAAAAAACACACACAGAGAGAGGGAGAGAGAGTTCCAGACGGCTGCTGCTGCTGCTGCCAGGAGTGTAGCAGCAGCAGCAAGCAGCAGCTACGGAGAAGCGTCGCCACTCACGCCAGGAGAGATGGTCCCTGGCGCACCTCTGGGTGACGCGGTTCCAAGCGATGGGTTTTCGTGGTCGGTGCTACGAACTGAGCGATTGTGGAAGGGGTGGAGGAGGAGAGTGGTGCGGTACGGAGGATGAAACGGTGGAATTTCCAGACGGCGCTTTGATTCACCGAGACAATCTTTAAAAAAAAAACAGACAAAGATCCCCCGTATAGCCTTGACACACTGCTGGGGCAAGTGCGGTGAGCCGGCAGCACCTATGAAGGCCGCAACGGTCACACGAGGGGGATGGGTGTGGCCAGCACCACGCCCGCGCGCCTTTGTCTCCCCCCAGTGGTGATGTTTTTACGCACCGCACCCAAGGTACTGGTTTGAGGCTGAGTCGACCCAAGGGAGGCCCAGGACCGGTTCAGATTATCGCCATTGGTGTTGGTGGCCGTTGACATACGTGCCACACACTCTTCAACACACACACTCTCAAGAAACACGTGGAAAGCACACACTCACTTGAAAACAGCTCTCTCTATAAAAAAAAACTTACATGCTCGAGAGAAATGCAACACACACTATCTAACCGCTACGCCACCGCTCCCCATACCAAGATAATCCCCCCACGGCCCCCCCCTTATACCCCACCACCATCAAAACAACCCTGGAATCACCCCCCCCCCCCCCCCACTTCTGCCCTTGGAATTGAAACAATTTGAGAAATTCGAGACATCTGGAAACGCCGATGGGGTTAAGTCTCGGATCATCGCTCTCTCGCGGTTGCGTTATACAATCCTGACGACCCCCCCATCCCCCCCGTGTCCTACGTTGATGTACGTACGTTGAACTTCTTTCGCACCGTACGTAGCCGACCGTGCTATTTAGTGTAGCAGTGGTTTGTCTTTTAAGATCACTTGAGTTAAGACGCATTGTGTTTACTCTGCAATCGTTCTGCAGGCAGGTCGGGTCTCGGGTGCGATGATTTGGCAGTCAGGAGCGGTGCATCATGTATGGATGGATGTTGGACTTCTTTCGCACCGTACGTATTCGACAGCGCTAATCGCTGTGATGATGCTTCGTGTTGTGAGTCTCTAGATCAGTGGTTCTTCAACTTTAGTGCAGACTTTGAACCCCTTCGATTCTAAATCGTAAACGTTTTGTTTACAATGTTAATAAATACATCGGGGGTTGATGAAACAAAGTTGTAACTTACGTGCCCCCGTGTTTAATTTGCGTTTTGATGAGTTACCTTCTAAAAAAAATAACACGCAATCTGGACATGTCTCGCACCCCCAGTGCAGTTGTGTGTGCACCCCAGGCCAGAGCCGGATTACCCTCATGCACAAGCAGCTACGACACGTGTAGTAGCTACATATGTGTAGTAGCTACTACTACATAGCTACACATATGTAGTAGCTACTACACGTGCTACTACTACACGTGTAGTAGCTACTACTACTAGTACTACTAGTAGTAGTAGGTTACTAGTAGCTACTACTAGTACTACTACACGTGTAGTACTATTACACGTGTAGTAGCTACTACTACTACACGTGTAGTAGCTACTACAGCTACTACACGTGTAGTAGCTACTACTACTACACGTGTAGTAGTAGTAGCTACTACACGTGTAGTAGCTACTACAGCTACTACACGTGTAGTAGCTGTAGTAGCTACTACACGTGTAGTAGTAGTAGCTACTACACGTGTAGTAGCTACTACTACTACACGTATAGTAGCTACTACTACATACACGTGTAGTAGCTACTACACGTGTAGTAGCTACTACTACTACACGTATAGTAGCTACTACTACATACACGTGTAGTAGCTACTACACGTGTAGTAGCTACTACTACTACACGTATAGTAGCTACTACTACATACACGTGTAGTAGCTACTACACGTGTAGTAGCTACTACTACTACACGTATAGTAGCTACTACTACATACACGTGTAGTAGCTACTACACGTGTAGTAGCTACTACTACTACACGTATAGTACTACTACATATGTAGAAGCTACGGGCCCCGCACTTTCAAGGGCCCCGCGCTAAATGCTTTCAAGCCATCAATTCCGCTTCAGTGATTCTGCACTTGCTCTATCACTATAGTACTATACCGCCTTCGACTTTTATGAACGACTGGGTGTTTAAGGTTAGCGATTTGTCGTATTATCTGGGCTGTATAGCAAATGAAAAAACACAATTACTGTACTGTGCAAGTTAAAAATAGTTTTTTTTTTAACATTGGTGTGTTTATATTCTTGGTTCTTTCGGTAAAGTCACGTAGAAGGGAAATAATGAAATAATACAAATATAAAACAATTGATGAACAAGGGATTCTAACCTTTAAATTATGATTTCCCTTCTACGTGACTTTACCGAAAGAACCAATAATATGAATCCCTGCAGTCACGAAAGCTTCAAATCAAAAATTGATGTGTTTTTAAAAAAAAATGTAAGGGCCTCTTTATAACAACATATGCTACAGATCCCGCACTTGGCTCAATCCGACACTGCCCCAGGCTAAGAAGAAGAAGAATCACCGGTTGAGACCGAGACGCTTCGTGTGCAGGAGAGAGAAGCTGCAGGCCACTTGGATGAACTGAGCTGAACACTTGGTGGAGGACCCGCGCGAATTCCACTTCAAATGAGTCGACACGTGGCGGCCGTCGTGTCGACAGTCACCCATCGCTCCACGAGGGGGCGACATGAGGCTACGCAGGCGCGCCTGGTGCTGTCCGCGCCGTGCACGAGGTTGCATCGAGTGGTGATTTATCTGAATCGGTTCTCTGCAATCCCCTCGCCCATCTCCCTCGCCTGGGTCGACTCAGCCTCAATGTGTAAAGGTCGCCACTGGGGAGACAAAGGCGGCCGGGCGTGGTGATGGACACCCACAATCTACCGTACTATTTGTGCAACAAAAATGCAATACGTAGTGCTTTTAAAGTCACGAACAATAGAAGTGAAATTGTAGGCCAAATTAAATCACGTTGTAACAAATTTGTAGCAAAGACATGATAAAAAGAACACATTAAGAAAATCCTAATTAACGCATTCCTGCGGAGGGAGCTGGTAGGAACGTTGGGTTGCTCGGTCAATTGCCAGGGTCAACGGCGGCGTGGTGTATTCCGCAAATATGCTCGACTGTGAGGGCGGGCACAAGCCGGCGTGAGTAGGTTAAACGTTGAGTTTTATAAGGGCACCACGGGGTGACCAGCCCCTCCCCACCCAGCCCCACCCCTCCCACCACCCTCCCCTCCCTACCCAGCCCCTCCCCACCCAGCCCCACCCCTCCCTCCATCCAACTAGTCCCATCCGCCCCACACAGCCCCTCCCCACCCTCCCCTCCCTACCCTCCCCACCCTCCCCACCCTCCCCACCCAGCCCCTCCCCACCATCCCCACCCAGCCCTTCCCCACCCTCCCCACCCAGCCCCTCCCCACCCTCCCCACCCAGCCCCTCCCCACCATCCCCACCCAGCCCTTCCCCACCCTCCCCACCCAGCCCTTCCCCACCCAGCCCCTACCCACCCTCCCCACCCAGCTCCTCCCCACCCTCCCCTCGAGTGTGTTGCTCTCACGCAAGCAAGTGAAAGCCAAAAAAAATTAGAGAGCGATGAAAGCGCAGCCCCGCAATGTCCTGCTCACGCCACCGCTGGCGGAAGAGGGCCTCGACTCGAGGGAGCTGCCGTGCGTAGCCCCATCATCCAACGTCCTTGATAAGAGTACCCGCACTTTACCCCACCACGCCCGAACTTAAATCGCATCCATCAGTGGGATGCGATTTAAGAAACCTGCCAATGGCTTCAAATGCCGCGCCGGGTAGATGTTGATGACCATCGCAGCAGCAGCAGGAGCCGGCCGTGCGTACCATGGCAGGACCCACCTGAAGAGCAGTCTCGAGACTCAGTGAGGGTTTTAGTGGATGAATAAACGCCATTGTGGCTATTGCTGTTGTTATTATTTTGACAGCTGCCTTCATTTTCCAAGGCCTCCTGTAACCTTTTTTTATCGGGCCACGCCAGATTTCCGTTACATGATTTGCCCCTTTGTAGTGTCCAGTGCTGCATTTGTTTAACTTAGACACACACACACAATACACAAAGACAAAGGTCCCCCTATAGCCTGAACAGACTGTTGGGGCAAGTGCCGGGGGTGGGTGGACAGCACCACGCCCGGCCGCCTTTGTCTCCCCAGTGGCGATGCTTACACACCGCACCAGGTACTCATTTGAGGCTGAGCCGACCTAGGGGACGCCCAGCACCGGTTCAAATAATCGTCACTGGTGGCCGTGAGCGGGACTTGAACTCGGGTGGCCGGGTTCATAGCGCAGTGCGCTAACCACTGCACCACCGCTCCTTCCCACACCCCCCACACCCCCCACCCTCCACATGCACAACATTATTCAAACTTTCCACATTTTGACGCTTGCTCCGAGCTTTGTTCTGGATTAATGACTCCCCCCAACCACCACTCCCTCTACCCCCCCCCCCCCCTCAAATCCTCCTCTCCCATACGGGGATGGGGAGAGGGGTCCTCGTCTCATTGATCGTTCCGGAATCCGCGGATCAGGAATTCCGCGCCGGGATTTCCCAAACTTCCTGCGCGCTCGACCCGGCGGTCGCGCTCACGCGACCACTCCACACGGGCGGGCGGTAGCGGCACCGTGCATGGGTGTGGTGGTGGTGGTGGTGATGGTAGTGGTTGGTGATGGTGATGTTGTTGGTGGTGATGGTAGTGGTGGTGGTGTTTGTAGTGGTGGTGGGGATGTTGTTGTTGGTGGTGTTTTTGGTGGTGGTGGTGTTTTTGGTGGTGGTGGTGTTTTTGGTGGTGGGGGTGTTTTTGGTGATGTTTGTAGTGGTGGTGATGGTGTTTTAAAGTGGTGGTGATGGTGTTTTTAGTGGTGGTGGTGGTGGTGGTGATGATGTTTGTGGTGGTGGTGATGTTTGTAGTGGTGGTGATGTTTTTAGTAGTGGTGGTGATGATGATGGTGTTTTAGTGGTGGTGGTGGTGATGATATTTTTAGTGGTGATGTTTGTAGTGGTGGTGGTGATGTTAGTGGTGGTGGTGTTTTTAGTGGTGGTGGTGGTGGTGGTGATGTTTGTAATGGTGGTGGTGATGTTTGTAGTGGTGGTGATGGAGTTTTTAGTGGTGGTGGTGATGTTTGTAGTGGTGGTGGTGGTGGTGTTTTTAATGGTGGTGGTGTTTTTGGTGGCTGTGCTAGTGCTGCCTTTGGTGGTGGTGATAGTTGTGGTGGTGGTTGTGGTGGTGGTTGTGATCGTGTTTTGGTGGTGGTGTATTTGGTGGTGGTGGTTGTGGTGGTGGTGGTGATTATGTTGGTGGGGCTGGCCATTATGAACCACATCAATAGCCCAGCAACATAAGAGAGTGAGTCAGATGGAGTCCAGCTAGGTCAGATTGGATTCGTTTAGGTCAGGTCAAGCGAGGTCATGTGTTGTTAATGTGGATAGGGTAGAGGCAGATCAAGTTGAATGTTGATTTAGTTATATGATGTTATTATCATATGCCACGTTCATGCAAAGTGCATCTCCCGCAATCGTTGAGGAATCACAGACACGATCCGCGAGGCAGCAGCAGCAGCAGCCAGGCGGGTAGCCGGCACACGCAACAATTGCCCGAGCTCTGCGTTTCTCTTCATATTTTTATACCAGCTCTTTTTTCAGAAGCGACCTGGCTACCACAAACGACGGCTCAACAAAGTGGCTGATCGTCGCGTGGACATTTAGAGCGGCCAAATAACTCTAAACACGTAACGTTGATTCTAAACGTGGAGGGGGAAAACCGGAGGACCCGGAGAAAAATCCACGCGACCACGGGGAGAGAGAGAGACACGCAAACTCCAAATATACAGCAGCAGCAGGCGTGAGGGTCGGGATTTAACCCACGACATCCTGTATACCAGGCGAGGTAGTTAACATCTCCTAGCTACAGTGATGATGAGAGAGACACGCAAACTCCAAATGTACAGCAGGCGTCAGGGTCGGGATTGAACCCACGACCTCCTGTACACTAGGCGAGGTAGTTAACATCTCCTAGCCACCGTGATGATGATGAGAGAGACACGCAAACTCCAAATATACAGCAGCAGGCGTCAGGGTCGGGATCGAACCCACGACATCCTGTACACCAGGCGAGGTAGTTAACATCTCCTAGCCACCGTGATGATGATGATGAGAGAGACACGCAAACTCCAAATATACAGCAGGCGTCAGGGTCGGGATCGAACCCACGACATCCTGTACACCAGGCGAGGTAGTTAACATCTCCTAGCCACCGTGATGATGAGAGAGAGACACGCAAACTCCAAATATACAGCAGCAGGCGTCAGGGTCGGGATTGAACCCACGACCTCCTGTACACTAGGCGAGGTAGTTAACATCTCCTAGCCACCGTGATGATGATGAGAGAGAGACACGCAAACTCCAAATATATAGCAGCAGGCGTCAGGGTCGGGATCGAACCCACGACATCCTGTACACCAGGCGAGGCAGTTAACATCTCCTAGCCACCGTGATGATGATGATGATGAGAGAGACACGCAAACTCCAAATATACAGCAGGCATCAGGGTCGGGATCGAACCCACGACATCCTGTACACCAGGCGAGGTAGTTAACATCTCATAGCCACCGTGATGATGATGATGAGAGAGAGACGCAAACTCCAAATACATAGCAGCAGGCGTCAGGGTCGGGATTGAACCCACGACCTCCTGTACACCAGGCGAGGTAGTTAACGTCTCACCATCGTGATGCTTTCAGCCCAATTAAGGAGTGAATACGTCTGAGAGTAAACCGGAGCACTCGAAGGAAACCCACGCAACAACTCTACTCCCGTACAGATGGGACAGATGGAGATTACAGTAATAGGTTTTAACCCTTTCAACTGGTACAAAAACTGACACCTTTATACAAGGCATCATGTTTGGAGATAAAGGAGATGTCTCATAGTGTAAATGCTTACCCCGAGCTCTCAATACTCTAATAGTACGTTGTCTTTGAGGTGTACGCCTTTTGGCGTCAGCTGGTCCAACACCAATGGAGACTAGGCTCTAAGAAAAGCTGTCTCGGGTGTGGACCAATCAACTTCAAGGACAGTGAATATCATTATCAGAGTTGTTTCTTTTTGTTTGCATTTTGACTGCTTGTGTTGTGGTTATTGCGAACATGACGCCTTGTATAAAGGTGTCAGTTTTTGTACCAGTTGAAAGGGTAAAAACCTATCACTATATGTTGCCACTGGTAAAGGAGATGTCCCATAGTGTAGATGGAGATTAGTCCACACTCCTCTACGCCCACGGGCACGGGAGTTTCGAGAGGAACACAAACATCTGAGTGCGATCCGACAACCCTCGCCGCCTCCGCAGTGCTGGATTATAGGCGTGCTGGGGTCAAGTGGGGTCAGGTGCGGGGTTCAGACAAGGTCAAGTGGGGTCAGGTGAGGTCAGGTGACAAATCAGGTGCGGTCCGGTGAGGTCAAGGTGATATGGCGGGCGGGGTCAGGCGAGGTCCAGCGAGGTCAAGCGAGATCAGCAAAGGTCAAGCGAGGTCACGCGAGATCAGCCGAGGTAATCTGCGGTCGCGCGAGGTGAGGCCAGCACCGCACCCGGACGACGTCGCGGTTGAGGTCGCGGGGGTCCCTCTGCACGAGGTCGATCTCCCGCGTGTGGGCGTCCACCACGCGGCCCGCCGTGTCGCCGTTCAGCGCCGCCGTGGGGCTCACGTCCTCCAGCGTGGTGACGCCGCGGTTCTGCGGTCGGTAGATGTTGCCCTCATCGCGTAGCGGGGTGGTGGTCTGTGGGCGGACACGCGGGGTGGACACGCGGGGTGGACACGGGGGTGGACACGGGGGCGGACACGTGGGTGAACACGTGGGTGGACACGGGGGCGGACACGCGGGTGGACATGCGGGCGGACACGCGGGCGAACACGCGGGCGAATGCGTGAGTGGACGCGTGGGTGGACACGTGGGTGGACACGGGGGCGGACACGCGGGTGAACACGTGGGTGGACATGGGGGCGGACACGCGGGTGAACACGTGAGTGGACGCGTGGGTGGACACGCGGGTGGACACGTGGGTGGACACGCGGGCGGACACGCGGGTGAACACGTGGGTGGACACGCGGGTAAACACGCGGGCGGACACGCGGGTGGACACGCGGGTGAACACGCGGGTGAACACGTGAGTGGACGCGTGGGTGGACACGCGGGTGGACACGTGAGTGGACACGCGGGTGGACACGCGGGTGGACGGGTGTACGCGCACGCTCGCGTGAACCCACGCGGGCGAAGACGCGCGTGCGTGTTCGCACGACTAAGACAAGGATCCCCCCACTAACGTAAACTTGTGACAGGCCGACGCTGCCTCGCTCTCGCCCAGAGAGAACCACTCGGAGTGTTTATCTGCAGTGCACGGGGGGGGGGGGACGGGGAGGGGGGGGGAAATCTGACGAGCCACGAAGCTCTTTGTCGCAGACGTCCAGTCGCGGCACGGGGTCAGAACGTGACAACAACAACAACAACCAACAAACAAACAATGCAAAAACACGACGAGCAGTGCGAAGCGAACGCAAAGGTGAACACATGGCTGTGGCTCCCTGTTGGAACTAAACCGCGGGCGAGGGAGCGGGAAGGGCAGCATCAGGAGCCACGTGGTGAGAAGCCGGCGACAGCAATTTGCCCGAGCTCTGGCGCTCCTCCACGTATGGGGGGCGTCGCCCGAAGCGGGAGAAAAACCGGAGCGCCCGCGGAAAACCCACGCGCGCGTGTGCGTCCGTGCGAGGGGACAACGCTCTATCCCAGGCAGACGAGCGGATGGTGCATACGGTTTGTTGCTGTGCCGCCTTCTCCGGGCGAGCCAGGATGCTATATGGCACCTCCTCGAAACCCACGTGCAGTTGAGACCCACAGGTTTCACGGAAAATTAGAAAAACCCCACAGGCTCGGATATACACGCACAGACTCAGAAACCCACAGGGTCACGTAGAAAGCAACAGACTCAGAAACCCACAGGGTCATATAGAAACCCACAGGCTCACATAGAAACCCACAGGCTCACATAGAAACCCACAGATTTAGATAAAACCCTACAGGCTCACATAGAAACCCACAGACTCACGTAGAAACCCACAGACATAGAAACCCACATACATAGAAACCCACAGACACACACACACAGACACAGACACAAACACACACAGACACACACAGACACACACAGACACAAACACACACAGACACCCACAGACACACACACAGACACACAGACATAGACACACACAGACACAGACACACACAGACACAGACACCCACAGACATAGACACACACAGACATAGACACACACAGACACAGACGCACACAAACACACACAGACACACACACACAGACATAGACACACACAGACATAGACACACACAGACACAGACATAGACATACACAGACACACACAGACATAGACACACACAGACACACACACACAGACACACACACACACAGACATAGACACACACAGACATAGACATACACAGACACACACAGACACAGACACTCACAGACACACACATACACCCACAGACACAGACACACACAGACAGATACACCCACAGACACAGACACACACAGACACAGACAGACACACACAGACACACACAGACACAGACACACACAGACTTAGACACCCATAGACACAGACACACACAGACACAAACACACACACAAACACCCACAGACACAGACACACACAGACACAGACAGACACACACAGACACACACAGACTTAGACCCACACGTTGCAGCAGCGATGCTGCCACCACCACTCCCACCGCTCCCACCGCTCCCCGGCTAAGTAGTTCAGTGGACAACATTACAAAGACAAAGATACCCCCGTGTAGCCTCAACAGACTGTTGGGGCAAGTGCTGTTAGCACACGAGGGGGTGGGTGGCCAGCACCACGCTCGACCGCCTTTGTCTCCCCAGCGGCGATGTTGACCACACCACGGCGTCTCGGGTTCTCATTTGAGTCGATAATCATCTGAACCCGGGACCGGTTCAGATGATGATCGTCACCGCTGCTGGTGGCCGTGAGCGCGAATCGAACTCGGGTGGCCGGGTTAGCAGCGCAGCGCGCTACCCACTAGGCTACCGCTCCCCCACGCGTAACGACACACAACAACAACACGTGCCGTTTGTGCTACAGTACAGGTACTGTGTTGTGTAAGGGGCCGTCCATAAATGACGTCACGCACTTAGGTGAGGGGGGGGGTCAGACATTTGTGACGATGTGTGACGAGGGGGGGGGGGGGTTTGAGAAATGTGACGTCGCATCAAAATGCGCAACTTTAAATAAATATAGACAACGCGTTCTACTTAATTAAATAGACTTTTTAATAAATGTGTTCTCCTACAACATCAGAGTGCAGCGGCACATTAAATACGCACTACAAAGACAATAGTTTAAAGCGATTCGAAGCATGTTTTTAAAAAAAAATAGGGGGGGGGGGGGGTGGGGCAGAGCTTTGTGACGTCATATTTGAGGGGTGGGGGGGGGTCTGACTTTTTGTGACGCCGTGTGACCAGGCTGGGCGGGGGGGGCGGGGGGTCAAAAATCGTCCAAAATCGCGTGACGTCATTTATGGACGCCGGCGATGTAAGGGCTGGCCACACGATCTGTTACCGCTGTAACAGACCGATGCTGGGCGGACTGAGACGGGGATTCTAGATTTGAAGCTTTCGTGACTGCAAGGATTCATATTCTTAGGTTTTTTCGGTAAAGTCACGTAGGTAAAACATCAAAATTAATGAAAATAAAATAAAAGAAAAATCACGACGTTTCGGAGGCAACACAAGTCTCAGCCGGTCCCACCTGATGACGGAGACTTGTGTTGCCTCCGAAACGTCGTGATTTTTATTTTATTTTCATTAATTTTGATGTTTTACCTACGTGACTTTACCGAAAAAACCTAAGAATATGAGACGGGGATATTTGCACGCAACGCGTTGGTGTACGGTGATTTTTTCCTGAAATATTTTGCCGTCTTTTCTTGGATTTTCTGTTTGCACTCAGTCACTTTGATGATAAGCCACTTCGTTGAGCTATCATTTGTAATAGCCAGGTAGCTTCTGAAAAAGAGCTACATAGATTTCGATTTAAAGCTTTCGTGACTGCAGGGATTCATCTTCTTGGTTCTTTCGGTAAAGTCACGTAGAAGGGTAATAATAAAATAATAAAAATAAAAGACAATAAAATAATTCTCACGACGTTTCGGCCACAACGCAAGCAGCCGTCCTCAGGTGAAAACCAGGTCTGTCGGGGAGACAGCGTCTGAATGAAACAGCACACGAGCTTGGAGCATATATATCTACGTCACTTTAAGATGTTTTCTTGTTCATGTTTTTTTGTTTGTTTGTTGCGGTTGCACCCGATTCAAGAGCCGAATGGCTCACAGGGCTATATACCTAATACATGAACTTGAACTTTGAAGGTTGGAGACAATTTGGGTCCCATTGTTCGAACTCTGTTGTGCCGGGAGTTGGACTCAGCTGGTGGCACTCTGGACTGACTGACTGGCTGACTCAAGCCGAGCGCTGCTGCTGCTGATCACGGCGGTGTTCCATTCATTGTGGCCATCGTCACTTTCACCACCATCATCATCATGATGATCCACCATTGTCATCAGCACCACCACCGCCATCATCTCCACCATCACCATCGTCAATACCACCATCATCACCACCATCATCACCATCATCATCATCACTACCACCGCCATCATCATCACTACCACCACCATCATCATCACCACCACCACCATCGTCACTACCACCACCATCGTCACTACCACCACCATCACCACCACCATCATCTCCACCATCATCATCACTACCACCACCATCATCATCACTACCACCACCATCGTCACCACCACCACCATCATCATCACAACCACCATCGTCACCACCACCATCATCACCACCACCACCATCGTCACCACCACCATCATCACCACCATCATCATCACTACCACCACCATCGTCACCGCCACCACCATCATCACCACCACCATCATCATCATCACTACCACCACCACCATCATCACTACCACCACCATCGTCACCACCACCACCATCATCATCACAACCACCACCATCGTCACCACCACCATCATCACCACCACCACCATCTTTACCACCATCACCACCATCATCATCATCACTACCACCACCACCATCATCACTACTACCACCATCGTCACCACCACCACCATCATCATCACAACCACCACCATCGTCACCACCACCATCATCACCACCACCACCATCATCACCACCACCATCGTCACCATCACCACCATCATCACCACCGACACCATCATCACCACGATCCCTTCGCGACCGACAAAATTCCTAATCCGTACCACTTCGTGCGATGTCAACAGGGCTCGTCTTACGGATCAACGAACTTGGCCTCGTCCATAGAAACGTGGAATTGCCGCTTCTTACCGAGCTCGCGTCCACCGCCGCGTTAAGACCTCTGGGGCGTAACGGTGGCGAGGCGACTCGGGGTTCGCCTCCACTGTGGACGAATCCGATCCCATCTGATCAGATCCGATACACGATCCCATTTCATTCAATCCGATCCCATCTGATCAGATCCGATACACGATCCCATTTCATTCAATCAGATCCCATCTGATCCGATCCGATACACGGTCCCATTTCATTCAATCCGATCCCAACTGATCAGATCCGATACACGATCCCATTTCATTCAATCCGATCCCATCTGATCAGATCCGATACACGATCCCATTTCATTCAATCCGATCCCAACTGATCAGATCCGATACACGATCCCATTTCATTCAATCCGATCCCAACTGATCAGATCCGATACACGATCCCATTTCATTCAATCCGATCCCATCTGATCAGATCCGATACACGGTCCCATTTCATTCAATCCGATCCCAACTGATCAGATCCGATACACGATCCCATTTCATTCAATCCGATCCCAACTGATCAGATCCGATACACGATCCCATTTCATTCAATCCGATCCCATCTGATCAGATCCGATACACGATCCCATTTCATTCAATCCGATCCCATCTGATCAGATCCGATACACGATCCCATTTCATTCAATCCGATCCCATCTGATCCGATCCGATACACGGTCCCATTTCATTCAATCCGATCCCAACTGATCAGATCCGATACACGATCCCATTTCATTCAATCCGATCCCAACTGATCAGATCCGATACACGATCCCATTTCATTCAATCAGATCCCGTCTGATCCGAACCGACGTACCCGCGTACCTGTGCATCCATTGCGTCCTGGGGGTAACGACTCCGCCTGTCTCTCTGCTGTTGTCTCTCTGAGCCTGTGATTCTGTCTCTCTCTCTCTCTCTGTGTGTGTGCGAGTCTCTGTGTGTGTCTCTGTGTGTGTCTCTGTGTGTGAGTCTCTGTGTGTGAGTCTCTGTTTGTGTGTGTCTCTGTGTGTGAGTCTCTGTCTGTGTGTGAGTCTCTGTGTGTGAGTCTATGTTTGTGTGTGAGTCTCTGTGTGTGAGTCTCTGTGTGTGAGTCTCTGTGTGTGAGTCTCTGTGTGTCTGTGTGTGAGTCTCTGTCTGTGTGTGAGTTTCTGTGTGTGAGTCTCTGTGTGTGTCTGTGTGTCTCTCTCTCTGTATCTCTGTCTGTGTGTGTGTCTCTGTCTGCGTGTCTCTGTGTCTCTGTCTCTGTGTCTCTGTGTCTCTGTCTGTGTCTCTGTCTCTGTGTCTCTGTCTGTGTCTCTGTGTCTCTGTCTCTGTGTCTGTGTGTGAGTCTCTGTGTGTGAGTCTCTGTGTCTGTGTGTGAGTCTCTGTATCTGTGTGTTGTGTGAGTCTCTGTGTGTGAGTCTCTGTCTGTGTGTGAGTCTCTGTGTGTGAGTCTCTGTGTGTGAGTCTCTGTGTCTGTCTCTGTGTGTGAGTCTCTGTCTCTGTCTCTGTCTGTGTCTATGTGTCTCTGTCTCTGTGTCTGTGTGTGAGTGTCTGTGTGTGTGTCTCTGTGTCTGTCTCTGTGTGTGAGTCTATGTCTCTGTGTCTCTGTCTCTGTGTGTGTGTGTGAGTTTCTGTCTGTGTCTCTGTCTGTGTGTGAGTCTCTGTCTCTGTGTGTGTGTCTCTGTATCTGCGTGTCTCTGTTCGAGTCTCCGCGTCTCTGGCTCGAGTCTGTGTGCCTCTCCCCGTGTCTCTGACCACTCCCAGTGGTGGGCAGGGGGTGGGGGGTGGAGTGTTTGTGCGTGTCAGTGTCAGTGTGTGTGTTAGTGTAAGCGTGTGCGTGTGTGTTAGTGTAAGCGTGTCAGTGTGTGTGTTATTGTGTGTGCGTGTGTGTGTTATTGTGTGTGTGTTATTGTGTGTGTGTTATTGTGTGTGTGTTATTGTGTGTGTTATTGTGTTTGTGTTATTGTGTGTGTGTTATAGTGTGTGTGTGTGTGTTATTGTGTGTGTGTTATTGTGTGTGTGTTATTGTGTGTGTGTTATTGTGTGTGTGTGTTATTGTGTGTGTGTTATTGTGTGTGTGTTATTGTGTGTGTGTTATTGTGTGTGTGTTATTGTGTGTGTTATTGTGTGTGTGTTATTGTGTGTGTGTGTTATTGTGTGTGTGTTATTGTGTGTGTGTTATTGTGTGTGTGTGTTATTGTGTGTGTGTTATTGTGTGTGTGTGTGCGTGTTATTGTGTGTGCGTGTGTAGCGGTCAGCGCTACGCTGCGCTACGAACCCGGCGACCCGGGTTCGATTCCCGCTCACGGCCAACACCAGTGACGATTATCTGAACCGGTCTCGGGCCTCCCCTAGGTCGACTCAGCCTCAAATGAGTACCTGGTGCGACGTGTAAACATTGCCACTGGGGAGACAAAGGCGGCCGGGCGTGGTGCTGTAGAGGGGGTCTTTGTTATATTTGTGTGAGAGTGTGTGAGAGTGTGTGTGTGAGAGACAAAGAGTGAGTGTGTGAGAGAGTTTGTGTACGTGTGTGTATGTTTATGTTTAGTGGGTGGGTGTGTGTAAGTGAGAGCGTGTGTGAAACAAGGAGTGTGTGTTAGAGAGTGTGCGCGTGTGTGTTTCGGGATGAGAGTGTGTGTGTGAGTGTGTGACTGTGTGTGTGAGTGTGTGTGAGTGTGTGGGTGTATGTGAGTGTGTGTGTGAGTGTGTGTGAGTGTGTGTGAGTGTGTGAGTGTGTGTGTGAGTGTGTGGGTGAGTGTGTGTGAGTGTGTGAGAGAGTTTGTGTACGTGTGTGTATGTTTATGTTTAGTGGATGGGTGTGTGTGTAAGTGAGAGCGTGTGTGAAACAAGGAGTGTGTGTTAGAGAGTGTGCGTGTGTGTGTTTAGGGATGAGAGCGTGTGTGTGTGTGTAAAAGACAGAGAGTGTGCGTGTGTAAGTGTGGGAATGTGTGTTTATGTAAGCGTGTGTGTGTAAGCGTGTGTGAGTGTGCGTGTGTGTATGAATTTGTGTCTATGAATGCGTGAGTGTGTAGAAGAGTGCGTGTGTAAGGGTGTTAATGTGTGTTTATGTAAGTGTGTGTGTGTAAACGTGCGTGAGTGTGCATGTGTAACGGTGTTAATGTGTGTTTATGTAAGTATGTGAGTGTGTGTAAGAGTGTCTGTGTGTGTAAGAATGCGTGAGTGTGCATGTGTAACGGTGTTAATGTGTGTTTATGTAAGTGTGTGTGTGTAAGAGTGTGTGAGTGTGCGTGTGTAAGCGTGTCAATCCAGGATGTGTATTTATCTGTGTGTGTGTGTCACGTATGTGTGTGTCTCATAAAGGCGGTCGGGCGTGGTGCTGGCCACCCACCCCCTCGTGTACCGTTCCGGCCTTCATAGGTGGTGCTCGCTAACAGCACTTGCCCCTAGAGTCTGTTAAGGCTACACGGGGGATCTTTGTGATCTTTGTGTGTCTCATACAAGTAGAGTCAGTGTGTGTGTGTAACCACGTGTCATGGTGTGTTTAGGTATGGATGCTTGTGAGTGAGGGAATGTGCGTGATGTGTGCGCGTGGGGGGGAGCGGGGGGGGGGGGGAGCGGTGGTGCAGCGGTGTATGTGTGTGTGTATGTGTGTATGTATGTGTTTGTGTATGTGTGTGTGTATGTGTGTGTGTATGTGTGTATGTGTGTGTATGTGTGTGTGTGTATGTGTGTGTATGTGTGTGTATGCGTGGGTGTGTGATGTGTGTGTGTGTGATGTGTATGTGTGTGTATGTGTGTGTGTATGTGTGTATGTGTGTGTATGTGTGTGTATGTGTGTGTGTATGTGTGTGTATGTGTGTGTGTGTATGTGTGTATGTGTATGTGTGTGTATGTGTGTGTATGTGTGTGTATGTGTGTGTGTGTATGTGTGTGTGTATGTGTGTATGTGTGTGTGTATGTATGTGTGTGTATGTGTGTATGTGTGTGTGTATGTGTGTGTATGTGTGTATGTGTGTGTATGTGTGTGTATGTGTGTGTGTATGTGTGTGTATGTGGTGTGTGTGTGTATGTGTGTATGTATGTGTGTACATGTGTGTGTATCTATATGTATGTGTGTGTACGTGTGTGTGTATGTGTGTGTCTGTGTGTGTCTGTGTGTATGTGTGTGTGTATGTATATGTATGTGTGTGTATGTGTGTGTATGTGTGTGTGTATATATGTGTGTGTATATGTGTATGTATGTGTGTGTATGTGAGTGTGTGTGTGTCTGTGTGTATGTGTGTGTGTATGTATATGTATGTGTGTGTATGTGTGTGTATATGTATGTATGTGCGTGTATGCGCGTACACCTCTGCGTGTCTGTGAGCAGCGGAATGTCCATCTGGTCACCGCTGCGAGCGGGAGAGGCGTGCGCGGGGTGCAGTCAAGTGGGACGGCCTCCCCTTATCGGTCGCCTGATGAAGCTGGTTGTAATTACTGGCGAAACGTCGGACTCAGATTGTAAGTGTTGTGGCTTGGCTCTCCAACACACCGGTTAGTGCCGGACTAGTATAATACACTCTACACTACATGATACACTACACTATACACTACATTATACACTACACTACTATACACTACACTCTACACTACATGATACACTACACTACTATACACTACACTATATCACTACACGATACACTACACTATACACTACACTATACACTACATTATACACTACACTATACACTACACTACTATACACTACACTATACACTAGTGCTGTACTAGTGACGAATTGGCCACGTTTGTTCACGTGACAACCCTTACTAGTTGGCTGTGTCGGGTGGTGGCGGGTTTTAACGACACATTTATATATTTACGCGATCTAACCCACAAAAAAAACCCTCTATTACACTGGTCAATACACGTTTTTTGGCATAAGGTATAACAACGGTTGTAAGGTAAATTTGGGGTGCTGATTCCAAATCTGGCATCAGTTTTTGTCTATCACATCAGGTTTTTGAGATATCAAATATTGCATTTTCAATAAAAAACTGCAGAAGAAAAATATTAAATAAATGTGGATATCTACATAAAATTATATTATAAACACACTATCCTAAAAATACAGCACCATATTTTAACACTAAAGCAGTCACTGACTCGCAACAACTGGCAATCATAAGTGACAGAGTAAATTTCGGGTAAAATCAATGAAAATGGGGTATGCCGATAGCATAAAAATGAGATGTGATAGAGCAAATCTGAGATCAGATTTGGAATCAGCACCCTGAAATTAGTCTAAAACAGCTGCAAAAGTCCAGGCCAGAATTTATTTATTTTGTTGACCAGTATTATATTGGTCGCGAAAGCCGCCTCCGTGTGAAACCGCGTGATTTGCGCTGACGGATCTGCTACTTGCCGGAGTCGGGGGGGGGGAGAAGTTGGAGCGTGCCACGAAGAGGCGAGAGAGAGGGGGGGGGGGCTGACCATCGGCCCCCAAACCAAAACAAAGGACCCCCCTTCGGCATGATGTGTCGTCAAGACCACCACCACCACTACTACCACCACCACCATCACTACCACCACCACCACCACTACCACCACCACCACTACTACCACCACCACTACCACCACCACTACTACCACCACCACTACCACCACCACTACTACCACCACCACTACCACTACTACCACTACCACCACCACTACCACCACCACTACTACCACCACCACTACCACCACCACTACCACCACCACTACTACCACCACCACTACTACCACCACCATTACCACCACCACTACCACTACTACCACCACCACCATTACCACCACTACCACTACTACCACCACCACCACTACCACCACCACCACTACCACCATCACTACCACTACTACCACCACCACCACCACTACTACCGCCACCACCGCCACTACCGCCACCACCACCACTACCACCACTACTACCACCACCACCACCACTACCACCACCACCACTACCACCACCACTACCACTACTACCACCACCACCACTACTACCACCACCACTACCACCACCACTACCACCACTACTACCACCACCACTACCACCACCACTACCACTACTACCACCACCACTACTACCACCACTACCACTACCACCACCACTACTACCACCGCCACCACGACATCCCGTCGGCTCCGCGTGAGTGATGGGGCACTTGTGGAGTGGAGGTGGAGAGGGTTTCACTTTACCTGGGGCAAGGGTGCGTTCGTGCTCATCTCGGGGTCTTGGCACAGCAGCGGTTTCGCTTCTAATCAGTGGAGCGGCATTATCTTTTCATCGGCCGGTCGAACTGCCTGGTCCGTCACTCCATACGATAACTAAAACGAGACTTTTTTTGACCAGGTAAGGGCCCACTGCTGAGCTGTGTAGCTATTTGTTTGATAGCTCAACGAAATGGATTGTAACGTGGGTGTTTGTAGCATCCAAATACTGTGAACGCGTGGTGATTTTTATTTTATGTGGAGGGGGAAAATCGGAGGTTCCGGAGAAAAAATCAACACGACCACAGGGAGAGAGACACGCAAACTCCAAATGTACAGCAGCAGGCGTCAGAGTCGGGATAGAACCCACGACCTCCTGTATACCAGGCGAGGTAGTTAACATCTCCTAGCCACCGTGATGATGATGAGAGAGAGACACGCAAACTCCAAATATACAGCAGCAGGCGTCAGGGTCGGGATCGAACCCACGACCTCCTGTACACCAGACGAGGTAGTTAACATCTCCTAGCCACCGTGATGATGATGAGAGAGACACGCAAACTCCAAATATACAGCAGCAGGCGTCAGGGTCGGGATCGAACTCACGACCTCCTGTATACCAGACGAGGTAGTTAACATCTCCTAGCCACCGTGATGAT